CCTTCCACATCTATGGCTCGTAGCTGCTTTTTTTTTTATATTTCCCAGAGAATTTTTGCTGTAGGGCATGTACACGTGCATTTGCCAGAGAGACAGATAGACAAAAAGTGAGAAATCACCCCCCAAGGGGATAGTCACACAGCAATCCCTTTTCCTCCATTCTCTCAGGATTTTGGGCACCCTCGCACATGCGTCCGGCATGAGTTTTAAGCCTCTGAATCTGGGACTTGAGCCACAGTCGACTATATGGGAGTTCAGTGATGTAACCATTACACCATCTGCTGAACTCCTCTTGTAGCTGTTTTTCACTCAAAAGTTCAAGCTGTAGATTTGGCAGTGAATTTTAGGTCTTAGGTTCCCAATCCTTTTTCTATATATGAGGACAACTATTCCTTTAACCAGTCGTAAAAGCACAGACCCTGTGTTGAGATTTCAGCTTTGCCATTTACTGTGTAATTCTGACTGGTGTCTTAACCATTTTGCCTCCCACTTTTATTATTGTACATACAAGGAGAGTAACAATACTACTTACCTCATAGGACTGTCATGAAAATTAAATGAGTTAATATTTTTAAGGTACTTAGAACAGTGCCTGCCTGTCATGTTAAATAAATAAAATTTCTCAAGAAGGTGATGTTCTTTTTGAACCTATAGATTGAGAAAATACCTGAAATTACCATGAATTCAGTAATTGTTTTATAAAACAATGAGTATTTTGTTTATTATACCTGGATCTGCACAATTTGCAAGACAATGCATACACTCTCTTCCTTATCAATCTATATACACTGTTTGTCGTGCATAAGAATTTGCAGTAAGTCTGAAGAGGTCTGGAGTTTGCAATGCATATATTGTATATGCCCCAAATACTGATCCTTAATGTCTGCAAAGTAGGACCTATAATAGGTCATTTTTAACTGATTAGACTCCTCCTGGGAATTTTATGTAGAAGCTATACTAATATGATGCTTCCTTCTCCCTACCAGAATTGTACAGGATGACCTTGTGGGAGTTAAGTCAACAAAACCAGTACATACTACAGGAATTTAGCACCCTGGACACTAGACATAAGAAATGATTTACTAGAGTACTGGGAAGCATGCTTAAAATGCAGTCGCAATTGAGAAAGCTCAAATCTAATTTATTCCATTACCTTATAATTGACTGCCTTAACACAAAGGGTTGGCCAAGAACAGAAGTGGGGACGGTCAGAAAACAAAAGGTGTCCATGAGTCTCTTTCATTGTCTAGGGCAGAAAGCACCCTGACCTATGAAAACAAATATTCCAATCTCTTCCACACAAAAAACCCTACACTGTGAAGAGACAAAGCCTCATGACTGCATCAGTAATTTTTAAATATATCTTTATTTATTCTGATCCATGTTCACCAAGCAACATACTGGTGATAATTTGGCTTCTCATGTAGGCTTGTCTACAAGGAAAAAATGGGGATCAGCAGATAGTCCAATGGTTACATTGCTGGATTCCCACATGGCCTACCCCAGTTCCAGTCCTAGACCCAGAGTGTGAAACTCATGTTGGGCGTGTGTGTACGTGTGCCCAAAATACCGAAAAGAGAATAGAAGGAGAAGGGATTGTGGTATGGCCACCCCTTGGGGGGGTGTGTGTGTGATATTTTGCTTTCTGTCTGTCTGTCTCTGTCTCTGAGCAAGCACAAGCATCCTACAGCAAAAATCTCTCTTAAAAAAGGGAAAAAAAATGGGAGCAGGTAGGTGGCGAGGTGGTTAGGAGTGCTGGATTCCCACATGGCTGACAGTGGTTGAGTCCTGGACCTGGCAACTTGCTCTCTCCCTTTCCCTTTCTCTCTCTCTCTCTGTCTCTCTCTGGTCAGATTAAAAATAAGAATAATAATAACAAATGGAATTAAATAAATAAATAATTCTTTAAAAAAGAAAAAAATGTGTTTAGTACTAGTCTTTTCATCATAAGTGAATAAATCAGCATACTGGATTATGCAGTTGCTATGAGTAAATTTACTTAGCACGAGTAACTGAGGGAATCATCAATTCCAGGTCCCCACAGGAGTCAGGCTCAGTGCTTTCAAATGGACAGACTACAGGATGAGACCCTGAAATGAAGGAACATGGTGCTGCTGCCTCAGCCCCAACTGCTGTCTGTGGGTGACATCTCCATCTCATCTTTTATAACTGCAACATGGGCCTAATACAGAACTTTCACCCTCAATACGGTTTTAAGTTTGGGTCTCCGGGGAAAGGACAGTTCCTACAACATTGCTCTCACTAGGAAAAGTAGGCTTGCCTGTTCTGATTTGGCAATTAAAATTAAAAAAAAAAAAACAACTATTCTCTACTGCTGCTTACATTCTATATTGATTCATTTAGCTCTGTGCACATTTAGAGCAATGAGCAGAACATTTTGTCATGGGACGTTTGATTAGAAAGAGGAATTATACAAACAGTGGAAGTAACCCAAGTGTCCATCCTCAGATAAATGGATAAGGAAAAGGTAGTATTTTCATACAATGGAGTATTATCCTATCTTTAAAATGGCTGTACGCATACCACAACATGGGTTAACTTGGAGGGCATCATGCTGAGCAAAATAAACCACACACAAGTATTGCAAAACTCAGAAATAGGAATGGGGAGGAGAGAGTGGTGAGCTGATGTTCAATGAGAGTAGAGTTTCAGTTTTACACAATGAAGAGTTTGGAGATGGGTGGTTGCAAGACAGGAGTGAGATCTCTGGTTAGGGAGATAGGGTAGGGAGTCCACAGAGTGGAGACTATGAGACAAGATGCAGTCACGATAGTGAAGCTTTTACTAGAAATCTTTTGCTGCTCTCACTAAAAATCAGTTCTTAGCTCTCACTACTTGCTTGCACAGACAGAAAACGGCTTGCAGCCTGCTTAAGATAATGAAAGCTAAAGCCAACACTTTTCATATCTGCATTCTAAACCCAGCATGTAAGGTCTCCTGGTCTAAAGAACAGGAGAGAAAAGAACCTTGAACAATACTCTTCTTTCAGATGTTTCTAAAATTTAGGACCATCAGCTGACTAGGCCAGAAATAGACAAATTAAGGATAGTCCTGAGAAAACTATTCAACCCGATTAACTCAAAACTCCCCGGCAGTACAGCACACCTGCAGTGGCAGCTCTCAGAACAGTTTCTTTCTCCTGCTATCTCTTTGGAAACACAGTGGTTTTCATACAGTTTTTTTCTTTTTTGACTGGGTCCATGTCACTGGGCCATTCCTACTATGGGGTGGGGAGCGCAGGGTGATCCATTCAGGCACCCTCTTCCACTTTGCTGGAAGCTTTTACTCTTTTATAATCAACTTTATTTGCTATTCCTTCTTCCTGAGTGTCAGACAAGAATCTGCACAAGTGTTAGGTCTGATCACCACAGACTTGTGTCAGCTGCTCAACGGTATGAATTTATTTAATGCCACTGAACTGCACACTTAAAAGAGGTTAAGATAGTACATTTTCTGTTATGCATACTTTGCCACAATAAAAAGAAAAAGGAAAAAAAAATGGATTATGGGTCTGGCTTTGTGTTCTGGTGGTTAAGGAAGTCAGATCCCACGTGACCCTACTGCATGATGGACTCCAAGAAGGGGCTTGAAGAAACATGCCCAGGCACATGCGCACGCATGCCCAAAATCTTGAAAGGGGGGAGAAATGAAAGAGAAGGAGGGTGCTTTCTTACCATGGAGGGTGTTTTCTCCTCTCCTTCTCTCTCTATCTCTCTCTCTCTCTTTCTCTCTCTGTGTGTGTCTCTCTCTGGTCAGGGAGGGATTATGTTTCCTGCCCTTAAGGTGCTCTGAAGCTGAACAAGAGTGTTGGAACAGCATGATAAAAATGTAGACTAAAGAGGAATTAATACATAGGAGACCCTGGCCCATCTCACAAAGAAACTGACACATGATCTAGACCGTTATGTAATTTCCTCCAATGCTAAAAAAATCGGCTTGGCACAAGAGCCCCGCTGTTACTTGAAAAAACAGAAGGCCTAGGAGAACTGGACCACATGCACTTCCTGTTTTCGGTCCAGCTGTCGCTCCAGGGTTTGAACCAGAGAAGCCCTCTCCGTCCCAGCAGATGGCGCCGGCGCTCACAGAGTACCTCCAGGCCGGAAGGGGGCGCGCTCGGAGGGCGTCTCTTCCCCCGCCTCGATGATCCTGTTTTCCGCTTCCCAAACCCGCCTTTTCCTGCGCCAGAGTGTAGCTGCGCATGCGTCCGCTACAGGCCGTGGGGAGCATGGCGGCCTCTTCGAGTGGCGAGAAGGAGAAGGAGAGGCTGGGAGGCGGCTCCGGAGCAGCGGGTGGTAACAGCACGCGAGAGCGGCTGCGGGCTGCGGGCGGAGATCCTGA